TCACAGAAGCCTTCATCTGATGCCACTCCTGCTGCTGCCACTTCCAGCTCTTCAAGAAGAGAACCGGAATCAGAAAGAGCTTCATTGCCAGGTATGTTGTGCACATACGAGGAATTTGTTTTGGTGACAGAAGCTTCTACAGCACAAGCAGAATAACAATGACAGGACACAGATAATACAAAATAATACAACTAGAATGATGCAACAATGAAACACATTTATTACAAAAAAGAAATACACAAAATACCAAAACTGTATTTTACCCCTACTCTGAGGGCAAGTAACTGGGCTTCAGTAACTATTGAAAACTGTTGATTCTGGCCAGGAACTAGTTCCAAGAGCCATCCCAGAGCCATTAAAGACAAAAGGTAAAAGTCAATGTTGAAATTAGCATTTAAGATTAGGATGTTGATTGTGTCCGGCCCATCCTGTGTTAATCAGATCAGTAGCATAGACGTTGATTCGTAAGGTTGATTGGATTAGCTGTTTTTGTGAGAGTCTCTGTGATCTGATTCATTTAAAACATAATAGAGATAACAGTTTGGGCAGGAAAAAAAAAACATTAAGCGTTTCAGTTATCTGACCAATAGAGAAAAACAGGATGGGCCGGATATAATCAACATCCTACACTCTTAAAATGGATGTGTTAAAAACAACACAACCTGTGTTATATCTTAACACACCTGTGTGTCTAGTTAAGGACAACACATTTTGTGTTACTTTTAACTCAACCAGTGTGTTATTGTTCTTAACACAGGGAGTGTGATTTCACTAAGTTTGCACTTTGAATTAGATTAAAATGTAGCAACTGACAAAATATTGCGTGTAAATAAGTTTTATTTACACTGGTGCACTCTTATAAAATGATTTTGTAAATAACACAACCTGTAAAAAGAGATGTCAAAAATGACACATGCTGTGTAGATTTTAACACATAAAGTGTGTGTGCTTAGGGACAACACATTTTTGTGTAGATTTTAACACATGTAGTGTGTGTGCTCAGGGACAACACATTTTGTGTAGATTTTAACACATGTTGTGTAGATTTTAACCCGTTTTGCAGATTTTAACACATGTAGTGTGTTTGCTCAAGGACAACACATGTTGTGTCAAATTTAACACACAACCTGTGTCGTTTCTTTACACATCTCTGTGTTTATAAGGATTACACATTTTGTGTTACGTTTAACACAACTAATGTGTTAGACAGCAGTGTGTTGTTGAAACCTTTTACACACTAATGTGTTATAGTAACACAACTTGTGTCAGATATGCGTCACATGTGACTGTAGTCGGAGAGTATTTGCCAGAGTTACTTCCCGTGTGCTTACAAAAGTGTTTGGATGAACACTGACACGTATTGGTAACTTGTATTTATGTAGTCCAGTGATGTTTAATAGAGTTTGTTTGAACATTTGGATGTTTTAAACATCATTAATCTATATAGACAAGCTCTTATTGAGAATTAACAGAGGTTTGATGTTTCATTTCAGTTTTATTTCAAGTCACCAGAATCGTGATTAATGGCTCCTTTATTTGGGCTCTTGACCCTTTACTCTTGTTTTAGTGTTTCTCTGCCAGCTGTAACTGTATTTTAATAAAATACATCTGTTATGGTGACAGAAAATATGATCAGAAGGTTCTTGATGATGTCATAATTAACAAGTTATGATCAAGTTTTTGAGTATATGGATGGTGTGCTTTATTTTAATGATGTATTGTTAGTTCTGAAAGTTTTGTGAAATTACATCCAGCTATCCAAAAGTGCAGAATGACAAAAAAAGTTCAAAGCTACAGCAGAAACCAGTCAAACACAGATATCAAGAATCAGCATATGGATCTCAATAATGGTGACAAACGAAAAGTTTCATGCCGCAATGCATGCTGGGACTTATGGATGAGCTTTGTACTAGAGACATGAAGCTTTGCCACCATTGTTGAGAGTCATATGCTGATTCTTGATGTCTGTATTTGACTAGTTTCTGCTGCAGCTTTAAACTGTCTCTAAACATATTTTTTTAAAGAATTATAGCATAAGGTAACATACACCATAATATCATGTAATCACCGAGTATCTGTAATCAAATATAAGTGATCAAATATACGTTATCTCTTAAACATTAAACTTCTCTTGCTATGTTAAAAAACATCATGTTGAAAAATGATCATTTAATGATCTTTTTCTTCAAGATAATTTCAACTGTTTCAGATGTGCAATATAAATACACAGAAACAGCAAACAGAGAAACGAATGGTAAAGAGTGAAGGGTCAAGAGCCTAAATAAAGCTGCCACTAATCACGATTCTGGTGACATCAAAACAAACATTCAATGAATCGTCAACACAAAACCTGGTAATTCTCAATAAGTGTTTCTGTAGACGTCTGACAGAAATAAATTGTTTGTTATAATAAATTAGTTATTAATAACAAGTGAAATCAGCATTTGAAAAAAAACATTGAAACCGAGGCATGATGTGATTGGCTGCCAAAAACAGTCATTAATCTGAAGTTTTTTTATGAATTAAGATTTTATTTATTTATTGTAATGTATTGTTTCATTTATTTTAGAGCTTGTTATGGGATACCATAGAAAATTTACTACCTCTAATTAGGTTCATAAACACAAACTTCCCTCCACCCATTAAAATTCTATCCAGTTACATTTTAACACACATTGTGTGTTAAAACTACACAACTTGTGTCAAAATACCATCAACACATGATGTGTGTTGTTTTTTAACACATCTCTTTTTAGAGTGTACACTCTAAAAAGAGATGTGTTAAAAAACAACACACATCATGTGTTGATGGTATTTGACACAAGTTGTGTAGTTTTTAACACACAATGTGTGTTAAAATGTAACTGGATAGAATTTTAATGGGTGGAGGGAAGTTTGTGTTTAAGAACCTAATTAGAGGTAGTATATTTTATATGGTATCCCATAACAAGCTCTAAAATAAATGAAACAATACATTACAATAAATAAATAAAATCTTAATTCATAAAAAAACCTTCAGATCAATGAATGTTTTTGGCAGCCAATCACATCATGCCTCGGTTTCAATGTTTTTTTCAAATGCTGATTTCACTTGTTATTAATAACTAATTTATTATAACAAACAATTTATTTCTGTCAGACGTCTACAGAAACACTTATTGAGAATTACCAGGTTTTGTGTTGACGATTCATTGAATGTTTGTTTTGATGTCACCAGAATCGTGATTAGTGGCAGCTTTATTTGGGCTCTTGACCCTTCACTCTTTACCATTCGTTTCTCTGTTTGCTGTTTCTGTGTATTTATATTGCACATCTGAAACAGTTGAAATTATCTTGAGGAAAAAGATCATTAAATGATCATTTTTCAACATGATGTTTTTTAACATAGCAAGAGAAGTTTAATGTTTAAGAGATAACTTATATTTGATCACTTATTTTTGATTACAGATACTCAGTGTTTACATGATATTATGGTGTACGCTACCTGATGCTATAATTCTTTAAAAAATATGTTTAGAGAAAGTTTAAAGCTGCAGCAGAAACTAGTCAAATACAGACATCAAGAATCAGCATATGACTCTCAACAATGGTGGCAAAGCTTCATGTCTCTAGTATAAAGCTCATCCATAAGTCCCAGCATGCATTGCGGCATGAAACTTTTCGTTTGTCACCATTATTGAGATCCATACGCTGATTCTTGATATCTGTGTTTGACTGGTTTCTGCTGTAGCTTTAAACTTTCTTTGTCATTCTGCACTTTTGGATAGCTGGATGTAGTTTCACAAAACTTTCAGAACTAACAATAAATCATTAAAATAAAGCACACCATCCATATACTCAAAAACCTGATCATAACTTGCTGATTATGACATCATCAAGAACCTTCTGATTATATTTTCTCTCACCATAACAGATATATTTGATTAAAATACAGTTACAGCAGGCAGAGAAACACTAAAACAAGAGTAAAGGGTCAAGAGCCCAAATAAAGGAGCCATTAGCCGCGTTTCCACTGCCGGGCCAGGGCCGGGCCGTGCTAGTGCGTGCCAGGGCCAGTCGCGTTTCCACTGTCACTTCCGGGGCTTGATCAGGGCTTCCTCAGGGCCAACGGCCAGGATTTCTGGCCCGTCGAATACCTTGGGCCAGAGAGGGCCAGCTCGGGCTAGAGGCGTGCTCAAGGTAAAAGGCGGAGTTTATCGGTGTTATGGAACGTTATGATCTGAAGCAAGATGCACATAGGGGTGTCCATGTTTAACCGATTAACCGTTTAAAATTGCATAACATTTTAATTTGAACTGTAGGCCTATGCCAAATGCTGCGCAACAATATATAGGCTATATATAGCTACATATCGACGAATTTTCAGATATTTGTTTGATTTTTTTGCCCCTTAAACATTTAAAATATTTGACAAATTAATATGAAAAAAATATATATTTTACTGGTTTTCTGAGGCCAAATTAGAACCTGGAAATGATATTTTCCCCGCAGTGCTGAATGAGAAGAGCCGTAACCACAGCCTACAGAAAGGGGATTTATGGGTGATTTATAGGCTATAATAAATGTGTCTGATAATAAAATAATATAAAATAACGAGGCATTAATTGTTTATTAATAAACTATTGTTTTCTAAATGATTTTCGGCTAAAAACATATCTCCATCTCCGGATGCACATTTAGAGAGAAATTAAGCTACATAAACATAGAAGATATTGGCTTTCGATTCGAATTTGTTTGTTTTAAATTGGACATTTAAAGCTTTAATCTACAAAGGATATAACCCCTGTAGACTATAAGGACATCAAGGGCGTCATTAGAAGGCGGCGGATCCTGAAGTCAGACCGGATGTGGTTTTACCCCCCTGAGTCACCCGGCTTCGTTAGCGGCGCCATCCCCACTCCACAGGCCTTTTACCGCAGCCGGTTTTTCTTCTGGCGCCCCATCGGAGTGTGGCGGTGCTCCCTGAAATGTCCCCGTGGAGATAAGTGCGCTGGGCCGGAGGCAACACACACCTCTCCAAGTCTGGTTACCATACCCGGGTAAGGCTCTTCACACCTGTGTTTTCAGTAATACATACATAATTAGTGACTGCTTAACAAACATGAATGCTGACAGAGGCATCGTGTACCTATTTATTTTTGTGTTTTTAAGGGGGCACAGTGTCCACAACACACATAAACGTGTGCTCACACTTACACCATCGGCCTTCTGCCATCCAAAGTGACATAAGTAGATCAATTATTAGAAAATTGTCATCCATGCATTGAAAAAAGTCCCCTTTGTTTACATGAGTAAATGCTTTGGGAATTTTAAACAATTAAATAGTTTTGTTACAGCATCTACTAACTTTCTTAATGTTATTTACAATTTTCACATTTTTAATCTATTAAAAATTGTTAATCTCAATGTATTAATGTTTTATTAATACTAATAATGTAACTAATAATGTTTTACTTATTGTTTTAGGTACGTCACATCTGTGATGTGTCCGGTTGGTACACCATGGCAACAGAGGTGGTTGTCTGTGGACCGTGCCTCAAGGCTGCCAGGGGTGGAGCGAGTGGTCCCATGGGTCGGTGGCTGGCCTGGGACGATGTAATATTGCAGCAGCTGAGCGAGGCTCATCGGGCCATGTTTCCGGCCGTGTTGACTGCAAAGCGTGGGGTGGACAAAACAGTACTTCGCCTCCTGCGTGACCGCACAGAGGGAAACACCATGATCAAAGTGTGGCGGCAGGTGCAGGAGAACCACATGGAGAACTACCATCAAAGGAAGGACCTGTACACCACGCTCCTCATGGCCTTGGTGGAACCCGGCGGAATCGTGTCTGCGTTGGGTCACGGGGAGTTCCAGGCGCCACCTCCTCCCAGAGAGCTACCCTGCACGCGGCTCCTGCGGCACGCCTTCCTCCTGGCCGAGGCGGACAACGTGCAGGACTACCGAAGCCAGATCCTCTCCACGTTCGGCACAGTCCTGAAAATGGATTCCACAAAGAAGGCAAGTGTGTCGACATACGAGTACTCACGGAGAAACGCAACATTATCCAAAACTAAACTAAACTGTTTTGTGTTTATTTTGTTGTAGGTGGTAAAGAAATTGTCTGGGGAGGGCAAGGGCTCGGCCGAGTGGTTCACCAGCATCGGCAACGAGTACTCGCAGATCGTGTCTTTTGTTCTCACCTGCGAGGAGTCCTCAGAAAAGCTGGGGCCCATGTGCCGTGGCGTGGTGGAGCGGTTCCGGCTTGCCAATCAACCGACACCCAAGATCCTGTATATCGACCGGGGATGCTGCAAGGCACAGGGTCCGACAGCCGTGGAGACGCTTTTCCAGCCGTGGGTGGATGATGGGATGGTGGTGAGGCTGGACATTTTCCATTGGTTTCACCTCTTTGATGCTGCTCTGCGTACCGAGGCCCACGCAAAGTACGCCGCCTTCAAGTCTGCGCTGGCCGGGCAGTGCTGGCCTATAACCGTGAGGACCTCCAGCTCCTCATCAGGGCTGTCAGGGCCAGAGACCCGGTCACAATGGAGGTTGTGACAGACGAGAATGTTGTCCGTCGTTACATCTCCCGGGACCACCTCAAGCATCATGTCCGGCGTGTCACCCTCGGAGCCCAGGAGACATTTCGTCTTGTCCACCTAGTAATTCAAGAGCTCAAGGGTCTAGCAGGGTTCGACGAGAGCGGGGTCAGCCTCTTCAAGTCCCCTGGTAAGGAAAAACACCTCTCAAACACACACACACACACAATATGTGCAAAATGACAAGAGCTCATCATGCATGTCTGTGGATTTTTGTGTTTACAGCAGCCATTGATGAGATGTGGGCCAGCCAGCAGCGACACCTGGAATGCATCCAAGACCCACCAGGCATGGCCATGTACAGGGTTGCCCGTACCACGACCATCAACGGTGTGGACCTCCCGTATTATAAATGCGTGCGTGGGAGCAACAGCCTGGAGGGGTTCCATAAGGCGCTGCCCCATATGATTCCAGGTAATCTAAGGGGGAAAAATACTTGTTTAACAGCAAACAACACATGTCTCTTTTCTATCATTCTGATAATACCTGTTGTTGTGATGTTCAGGTCCCCACTGTGCGGCACGGCCTTACCAGGTCTACCTCATCAGTGGGATCGCCAGGTGGAACTCTGACCGGAGCTCGGATGCAGTGTTTGGGGGCAGAGGCCGGCACAGGCGAGTCTACTCGGCGCCGCTCATTGACCGCCTCAACTCCCGCTGCAAGCAGCTGTTTGGCGAGACGGTGGAAGAGAACTTCAGGGCCCCGGCCGCCGTCCAGTCAAATGAGCTGCTTGGTCTTGAATATCTTTTCAGCCAAAGCACAGGGGAGGCCTTCTCTCTTGAGGGCATTGTCAATGACGGTCCTGGGCCGGAGGAGGAGGTCATTCAGCCTGGGCAGGCTGACTCAGACGACGAAGCAGACGAAGCAGACGAGGCGTACCAAAGCGACGAGGACCATCCTACTGTCCAGCCCCACATGACTCTTACCAGCAGTGAGACTGCTACAGTCAACCCCCCTGCCTTTGTGAGTAGAGTACCTACTTGTCTGATAGAAAAGAATACAGTAATCAATGTTGAAAAACAATACATTGTATGCATTGGAACTTACCTAATTTTCTTTCTTTGTGTGTGTGTGTGTGTGTGTGTGTGTGTCTCTGTGTATGTTTTACAGGAGGATGTCTGCAGTGAAAATCCTCTGCCAGGGTTTCAAAAGCTGGAGGCATTCTGTGCTGCGCTGGTGGAGGTCGGCTTGACAGACCAGACGTTGCTCCTCAACACCGCGCAAAGGAACCGCATCCTCGAGGCCTGGAATGTGGTGGAGGAGCACGACAAGCAGCCACAGAAGTACCACCAGCTATACCGCACACACTGGGGTAACACGCTGTACTGCCGCACTAAGAGGGATGACCTTGCTGACGCCGCCTTGGTCCAGAAGGTGAAGATGGCAAAAAGGTACGCGCCAGCACAGCAGGACATCAGCCCGCAGCACAACCGCCTCATGTACGTGCTTGTCAAGCTTCTGTGGCTGCGCTCCCCTCAGGCCTCTCGCCCCAGCCCAGAGAAGACCAGCATCCTCAAGGCCTATGAGAGGATCCAGCACCGGGTCTTGGTGGATGACCCAATCCTCTGTAAGGCAGGCATCCCCCTTCCCAAAATAAACTCTAAAACAGTGAGGGACTTTATCCGGCAGCAGGAGAGGCTGGTGAACCTTCACGCCACCAGCCAGCCAGCCGTCATCTCCAAAATCACATCGGTGTCGTCTGAAGAGCTGCCTCCTGCACCGTGCCAGCCTGCCGTCCTCCATCCACCTGACTACCCTGTGATGGAGTACGTCCCCACGCCCAGCACCGCCGGCACAAAGGTATTGAAGGGACGGACCAACAAGCTGGTGGCGACGCCACAGCCTCCTCCTCAACCACCACTGCCCCCTCCTCAACTACCACTGCCCCTGCCAGTGAGGAAAATCCCCGCCACCTCCACCATCACCAGGCCTGTGCTGTCAGTCTCCCAGTCTGCGGGCCCCTCGTCCACGCAGCCCATACTGCCTTCTGGTCAGGCATCCATCCCGGTCACCCCGTCTGTGCCCATCAGGCCAGCTGTTCAGCCGCCCTCTGGACAGAACCCTGTGGAAGGATTGTCGTGGTCTAAATCCACACTGTACAAGAGGAAGATGGCAGATCATCCTACGGCCCTGGGCGTTAAGCTAACAAGGGTGCAGCATCTCCCGACCTGCAGGGTGTGCGGGCAAACAATTCAGGGACACAAAAAGTACAAAAAAAAACCCATTTTGCCCTTCAATCAACCGTTCAGCCTCCAAGGGACTGGAGAACATAGTATTTAGAGACTATGAACATTTTGTGTCTGTTGTGGATGGATCAGAGGAGGGAATGGCTGGCCCATTGTAAATTGTGTGTTTTATTGTGTACAAGTTTTATTGTTCTACGTTCTGTGTTCTTTTTTCTTTCAAAAGTGTCATTGTGGAGATAGACACTTGTAACTTGTACACGTTTACTTAAAACTATTTTCAATAAAATCAATGTAAACCTTTTGATTTATTTTTGTAATATATTCTTGCATAATATATTATGTTCTGTGAAACTAAATAAAGTGATTTTGCTTTATTATTAAAAAGTTTTCTTTTATTTATATATAACTTTTGATTTATTACATCAGATCAAACTTTCATCATCGTTGTAAAGGAACAACATCATGCTTATATTAAGTAATGAACTTTCATAGTAAACTTCTGTAGATATTTTATTGGTATGAAAAAGTGGGGTACAGAATAAATTATATAGTCCTAGTATAATCAAAGTAATATAACTTGTTCAAATAAAACAATCAAAATGCTTTATTGGTGTGGAAAATTAGGGTACAGAAATTTGTAGCAAATGCAACATTTAAAAATATACATAAAATGTATTTAAGGGGGCCGAAGGCCAATTTAGCTCAAAGGGAAATGATTCATTGATTTGCAATGAATCTATGGAACCGAATCACTGAACCGAGCAAATGACTCGCTTAGAATTCATTTGAACGGGCCGTAATTATAACCAAATCTATAGTGAAACACTATGTCTTAGCAAGGTAACTTTAAATCGAACAGTACAAGACATTAAATGTGCAAACACGACACAAGAAGATTTATCTTTTCAAATATATGGGAGACTTTATTAGCTATTCTAAACACAACTCTAAGGTCTAAACATAATCACGCACACACACACACACACATTCATACAGTCGCGAAAGGGAAAGAGTGAGTTGGAAAGAGTGAGAGAGAAAGTTTTAACTTTCTATATGCACGTAAGACATAACCTGAAAGGACCACCAAGCATTAATTTGAACCTTCATTTCTTAGAGAGGTTATTCAATTAACATTAAAGCACCAGTTCAGTTAGAGCCTGGAGTACTTGCGCTTTGTAGTGGCTGAGGGAATTCCCTTTGTCTGCGTCGCGTCGAAGGGGGGTTTCCCGGCCGGGTCCGTTGAGTGGTTTGTTGTCTTTGAAGTGCAGGGATGGAAGTTTCGCCGCTGGTCACGTGTGATTAGCAAGCGAATGAGAGTCTTTTCCAGTTCGAAGCGCGTTGCAAACTTAACTTTGAAACGAGACTTTTACGAAAAAGGAAATAAAGGAAAGAAATGAAAGTAAGACGAGTCGGATGGCTTGACTGAGCTGAATTGTAACCCTGATCTTGATGGGTTATTCGTCTGCGGGTCGAATTTTGGTCTAGTCGATGTAGAAGCATGCGGACATGTTCTTTGTTTCAGAGATAAGCACGAACAGAACACTCTCTTGCTGGTTTTAGAGAGAGGCACTAACTTAACAGTTACAGAACTGAACGAACTGAACTGAACACAAACAAAAAGAAAGAACATAACAAAAACAAAACATGAGGTCTTGTTCCTTTGTTCGGATCTTTAACTTAAACTCTAGTCCAACCTCCAAGAAACTTCAGGCCAATGGGTAATGGCATGATCTCAGGAGGTGGATCTACTTCTTTACTTATCATAATTTATGCATGGTCTGTGAGCTGGTCTCCAGCACTTAGCAGAGACAAAAGACCATGGTTTAAACCTTATGATTATTATAATCATAAAACAAAACCTTTTACGCAGATTTCAATCAAGCCATCTTTTGAATTAGGAGAATACGGTTTGTTTAAGAGCAAACGAGGCATTCACACTTCTAATGGTTGTATAACAATTACAAGAGTTAATAGTTAACAACAATTACATGGTTATTATGTGATCTAAGCATAATAACACATGAAGTGTAGGAACAACAACAATTATGATTGGTTATAGGTCCAAGAATTGTTCTGTGGTGAGTTTATATGATTTTATGTGTGAGATCTCCGATCTCAACAGTGAGGTCGTGGTAGGTTCAAGGAGTAGGGGTAGAGGAAGGTGTTCTGTGTAACATCTCTGTCAGGAGATCAAAGAGGTCTTTGTTGTGAGCCTCTGTTCCACCATTTTGGAGCTGACCTGTCCCAGTAAAACATTAGCATATTGACACGTTCGTCCTGTTTAGTGCCCATCTCTTGGGCCTGTGGGGCAATAAAAGTCCTTATCTGCAGACAGCACGGAGTCGTTCCGTGACTCTGGAATGTGGGCTCCAGAACTTGGAGTGTTGAAGCCATGTGAATTAATCCCATGAGAGATTAATTTGATTAAGTTGTGTTTGATTCGCCTCGATTCTCTACAAATTATATAGTCATAGTATAATCAAAGTGATAATTTATATAACCTGTTCAAATAAAACAATCACAAAGGAAAATAAAGGATGTTTTATTAGTGTGGAAAATTGGGGTACAGAATAAATTATATAGTCGTAGTAAAATCAAAGTAATAGTTTATATAACCTGTTCCAATAAAAATAGCACAATAAAAAAATTCTGTTACTAAATTACATTGTTAATGTAACATGAGTACTCAAAGAGAGATAGTAGTCATTTACATATTAACAGTGTATCATAAACAGTTGAAATACTCTTTGTAACCATTAATGAATGATTGATGTCATCATAACAATGTAGTATTGGTGATGTCATCGTTGGGAATTCCCTCGCTAGCGTGGGGACCTAGGAAGTAAACAGAGAGAAACCATGTGATCAATCATAGAACCCCATCCAATCACGTTTCCGGTCAATTGCACTCCGGTTCAGTGGAGGCCCATTCGCGAACTCCCCAAATGTGGGAATCTCGACTGCATAATTTATGGTAGTGGGGGACTGCGTTCGCGCTCTCCCCTGGACAACAGCAACAGCAACAACAACTCTCCCCTGAATGTTGATGATCCAAAATCCCAGGTTGCACTCCAGAGTGTCGTGCTGTGCACTCTGTTGTGATCCATTTTCGGTGTCAACCAATCTGAGCTGAGCTTGTTTGCCGGCGACCTTAGACCCTCTCGCCGCGGCCCAGGTGGGCGTGGCCTTTGCCGGCTCCCCCGCCTCGGCGTCGCTGCGTCATCGCTTCTCGGCCTTTTGGCTAAGATCAAGTGTGCGATCGACCAGAATGGATGATTCCAGAGAGGATGCTCCACTGCCGACCATGTTGGTGCGGCTGAAGAACACAGTGCGGTTTCAGGTCAAGAAAGATGCAGCGTTGGATGTGAAGAAACGATTTGGAAGAGAATTTGTGGTGACTGAGCTGTTAAGGGAAGTTTTTGGGATTTCAGCGTCTTTAATTTTCTGTTTGCAAGATTTTTCATCTTCTGGGTTCATGGATTTGACTTTTTTTCAATTGAGAGACTGTGCTGCCTTTTATGAAGCTTGGGGGATGAAAAAAGATCACCAGTGCTTGAGTGGCATACAACTTTTCCTGGCTTTTACTCAAGATTTTCTGCCTTTAACGATCCACCTGTACAATCCTTTCGTGGAAGATGGGGATGTTTTGATCTTCTTGGCCAGGTACTGTGAGACTGTGAAAGGCGGAGAGCGGTTGAAAGATCGTTTTGGTATATGGACAGGGAAGAGAAGATACCTGGTGAAGTTGCGTGCAGACCCAGCTGCTGAAGGAGGTTTAGTGCATCCGCCTGGTTCCTTCTTCATTGGTTCAAACAGGGGATTTTTGCACTATCCAGGTCAGCCGGTGTACTGTAGGCGGTGTGGCGCACAGGGTCATGTGAAAGCAGAATGTGCAGGCCAGAGATGCCGCTTTTGTGGATCAACAGAGCACATGGGAACAGCCTGTCCAGAACCCAAGAAGTGCAGTTTATGTGGAGGAGTGGATCATCTTTTCCGGGTATGCCCTAAGCGGAAAAAAACGTACGCCAGCCTTTTCAAAGAGGGACAAGATCTACAGGCCGACTTTGAGGGTCTATTATCAAGTGTTCCTGAGACGAGAGACAGTCAGAGGGCGGGCCCTTCAAATCTGGGTGTTAGTGAAGCTGCTGTGGAAGTGAGGGCTGCTGAAGTAAGAGAGGAGGTGGAAAAGAAAGGAACTGAGGAAGAGGTGGAGCTTCAAATTGGCTCTTCACAAGTATGGTCAGAGTTCGATGTGGAAGAAGTCTTGTGTGGCATTTATGGAGAGAATGGACAAGGTATGGGGGAGTCAGCGAGCGATGGGAAGGAACTCCAGCCTATGGAAGTGACTGGACAGGAGCAACAGGACACTATGAAGCTGGGACAAGGCATGAGAAGACGGAAGCTCTTCGATCACATGACTGGCGATAGAGAGAGTAAATGCAGTAAGGTCCTGGCTCAGGATCTGACACTCAGACGAGCCCAGGGAGATGAGAGTGGAGGTGAAATGGATATTGTAGAGGGCTTTATAGAACTCAACTCAACTTTTATTTATAAAAGCACTTTCAAAACCATTAAAATGGACCAAAGTGCTGTCCACAGGCAGTAAATAATACACAGAGAAATAAAATTAAATCAAGACATGACACCCAGATAATCAACCCACAAATCGCTCACAGTTCTCGGACCTACTCAAATGCCAAAAGCTTGATGAAATAAATAAGTCTTCAAATCCTTTCTAAAAATGTCCGTGCTTGACGACGATTTGAGAGATAATGGCAGCACATTCCAGAGTGCAGGAGCCGCAACGGAAAAGGCGAGATCACCACTACGCCTGAGGCGAGATCGAGGGACAGTTAGAAGCATTTTCTGCGAGGAGCGTAGATGGCGTTGAGAATGAAGTGGGCTTAACATGTCCTTTATGTATTCAGGAGCTAGATCATGTAATGCTTTAAAAACAAATAATAACACCTTATATTGTATTCTGTATTTAACAGGTAGCCAGTGAAGAGATATCAATACGGGTGTTATATGATCACATTTCTTGGTATTTGTTAAAAATCTCACCGCAGCATTTTGAACACGCTGAAGACGGGCAACCAGTGTATCACTTATGCCTAGATAAAGACAAGAGCATTACAATAATCTAACCTGGTTAAAACGAAAGCATGTAAAACAATCTCCAAGTCCTTATATGAAAGGATTGGTTTCAGCTTGGACAATTTTCTCAAGTGGAAGAAAGAGGATTTCACAACACTGTTAACTTGACGATCAAAACGCATTTCAGAGTCGAAAAATACTCCAAGGTTCTTCACAAAACTATAGATATTGTTAAACAATAGTCCATAATTACCAGGTAGATCGTTCCCAAACTCCTTGTTCCCAAAAATGATAAACTCCGTCTTATCCTCATTTAGCTGTAGGAAATTATTTGATAACCATCCCTTTACCTCAGTCAAGCAATTATAAAAACTAGTAAAAGATGAGCAGCCATCACACTCAAGAGGAAGGTACAGTTGTAAATCGTCAGCATACAAGTGGTAATTAATATTATGCTGCTTAAAAATAGACTCCAAGGGTAGCATATATAGAGAAAATAGAGTCGGGCCAAGAATTGATCCCTGAGGAACCCCCCAGGAAAGTGTTGCGGGTGCTGAGACATAGTTACCAATTTTAACAGAACATGTCCTGTCTTGCAAATAAGAAGAAAACCACTTAAGGGCAACACCCTTAATACCTACATAATTTCTGAGACGTTGTATTAAAATTACATGATCTAAGGTATCAAAGGCTGCAGTTAAATCTAACATCATTAAGGCAACACTTTTCCCAGAGTCAATACTTAACAGAATGTCATTTGTAACCTTTAATAAAGCTGACTCTGTACTATGTTTGATCCGAAATCCAGACTGAAAAGTATCCATTATGTTATTTACATTCAAAAAGTCTGTAAGTTGATTATGGACAACTTTCTCAAAAATTTTATGCATAAAAGGCAGTTTCGAAATGGGTCTGAAATTTTTGAAATCGTTTGGATCCAAACTCATTTTTTTTAAGACTGGCTCAATAACAGCATGCTTAAGCGCCGATGGTACAGTTCCATAAAATAAACTACAGTTGATAATCGATAATATACTGGGACCAATCGTGTCAACAAGTTCTTTAAACAATCGCGACGGCAGAACGTCATATAGTGAAGTGGTCGGTTTTAAATGCACTATTACCTTTTCCAACTGAGCTAAAGTAATCGATTCAAATTTACTTAAGCAGCAATGAAGCGGATTTATTATATCGATTACAGTATTGCCTACAGGCACAATATTTGACTGAATAAGAGCAACCTTATCAATAATATATTTAAAAAAAACTCTCACATAGATCCGTAGACGGGGTAGGAAAATAATTAATAGACGGGCTCATTACCTTATCTAGGGTTGAAAATAAAACCTTCGGATTTTTTGCATTATGTGATATCACTTGCGATAAATATGAAAATCTAGAGGCTCTAACAGTGTTTTGGTAGTTTTGTAGAGTTTCTCTAAGAATTTCATATGATATTTGCAATTTATCTTTCAGCCACTTACGCTCTGCCTGCCGACAAAGCCGCCTCAAATTTCGTGTTGCATCATTTAACCACGGTTGTTTTTTAACTTTATGACTTCTCAATTTAAAAGGCGCAATATTGTCCAAGATCTCTGAACAGGCATGATTAAAAGTATTTACCAATTCATCAGGTCCCGCGGTGGGCAATGCTGTAGGCTCAATATGATCGGCTAATTTAATAAAAGCAGTTGAAAACGCACTAGGTGTGGAAGTGGTGATTACCCTTGACAAGAATGACGAAGGCTGACAACAGAGGCCATTTGTAGCAGAAGTAAAATTAAACCTAATTGGCATATGGTCTGAGATGGCCATTTCTTCAACACAATTGTCTCTTATTGTTATCCCCAACGAAAATACTAAGTCAAGTGTGTGCCCATGCATAAGTAGGACCGGAGACCGATTGGGATAAATTTAATGAATCATCTAAATTCAAAAATTCCTTGGTCATTGGTTTACCAGGACAACAAACATGAATATTAAAATCACCCATGATCAAGATCCTGTCAGCAGATGGGACAATCACAGATAAAAAATCATCGATAAAGTTCTTATTGTAACTTGGAGGCCTATATATCAAGGCACAAATCACTGGTAATGGCAAGTCAATTTTCATTAATTGCACTTCAAAACTCATAAAAGTTTCAACAGGCAGTAACTTGCACTTCATCATGTTTTTAAAAATAACAGCCAAGCCTCCATCCCGATGGTTACTTCTCGATGTACTTAAATAGCTACATCCATTTGGTACAAGCTCAGCAAAAGGGCTCATATCAGCGTCATTTAACCAAGTTTCAGTGATAAAAAGAAAGTCCAGTCCAGATGATGCATAATAATCATTCAGAATGAATGTTTTGTTGACAACTGAACGAGCGTTTATCAAAGCCATTTGCACTGTGGTCGAATCAACAGGCCGGTTAGCTTCATTGCTTCATTTCGCTTGACACACCGCAAGTTTGAATGCACCACACCTCCGCGACTCCTCTCTCTCCGTGTAATCCAGCGCAATGGTGTTGATGTGGCAGGCAAAACGTATATAAAGTGGGAAGGCCATGACTCCGCCATTAGTCTAGCTCCACTATTTAGGATTCTCAGTTTCTTAAGTTTCACCAAGACTCCAGCCCGTGTGCCTCGTCTCCTGCGGCGTCTCCTCCTCCAGCACGCGCATCCCATTACCTGCA